ATTGGTGTAAAGCGCATGAACAAACTCCATGCGGATTGACTTTTGGAATCACTTGATTATAAATCACTTGATGCTTGCGGACCATACCTCATGGGCAAGATGACTAAGAATCCGTTCTCCGAAACAATGGAGCGAGCCACTGACTTATTAGAAATAATACATACTGATGTATGCGGTCCGATGAGTGTTGAGGCTCGCGGCAGGTATCATTATTTTCTGACCTTCACAGATGATTTGAGCAGATATGGGTATATCTACTTGATGAAACATAAGTCTGAAACATTTGAAAAGTTCAAAAAAATTCAGAATGAAGTGGAAAATCATCGTAACAAGAAAATAAAGTTTCTACGATCTGATCGTGGAGGCGAATATTTGAGTTGTGAGTTTGGTCTTCATTTGAAACAATGTGAAATAGTTTCGCAACTCACGCCACCTGGAACACCAAAGCGTAATGGTGTGTCCAAACATCGTAATCGTAGTTTACTAGATATGGTGCGATCTATGATGTCTCTTACTGATTTACCACTATTGTTTTGGGGTTATGCATTAGAGACAGCTACATTCACGTTAAATAGGGCACCATATAAATCCGTTGAGACGACACCATATGAACTGTGGTTTAGCAAGAAACCTAAGCTGTCATTTCTTAAAATTTGGGGTTGTGATGCTTATATGAAAAAGTTTCAACTTGATAAGCTCGAACCCAAATCGGAGAAATGCGTCTTCATAGGATACCCAAAGGAAACTGTTGGGTACACCTTCTATCACATATCCGAAGGCACGATATTCGTTGCTAAGAATGGATCCTTTCTAGAGAAGAAGTTTCTCGCGAAAGAAGTGAGTGGGAGAAATGTAGAACTTGACGAGGTAATTGTACCTTCTCCCGAATTGGAAAGTAGTTCATCACAGAAATCAGTTCCAGTGATTCCTACACCAATTAGTAAGGAAGCTAATGATGATGATCATAAAACTTTAGATCAAGTTACTATCGAACCTCGTAGGTCAATCAGAGTACGATACACACCAGAGTGGTACGGTAATCTTGTTCTGGAAGTCATGTTACTTAACCATGACGAACCTACGAACTATGAGGAAGCGATGATGAGTCCAGATTCCGCAAAATGGCTTGAAGCCATGAAATCTGAGATGAGATCCATGTATGAGAACAAAGTATGGACTTTGATTGACTTGCCCGTTGATCGATAAGCCATTGAGAATAAATGGACCTTCAAGAGGAAGACGGACGCTGATAGTAGTGTTACTATCTACAAAGCTCGACTTGACACAAAAGGTTTTCGACAAGTTCAAAGTGTTGACTACGATGAGATTTACTCACTCATATCGATGCTTAAAAGTCTGTGTGAATCATGTTAGCAGTTGCCGCATTTTATGAAAATTGGCAAATGGATGTCAAAATTGTATTCCTTAATGGATTTCTTAAAGAAGAGTTGTATATGATGCAAACAGAAGGTTTTTCGATCCAAAAGATGCTAACAAAGTGAGCAAGCTCCAGCGATCTATATATGGACTGATGCAAGCCTCTCGGAGTTGGAATATACACTTTGATAATGTGATCAAAGCATATGGTTTTATACATACTTTTGGAGAAGACTGTATTTACAAGAAAGTGAGTGGGGGCACTACAACCTTTCTGATAAGTATATGTGAATGACATATTGTTGATCGGAAATTATGTAGAATTTTCTGGATAGCATAAAACGATATTTGAATTAGAATTTTTTGAAGCTACTTACATATTGGCATCAAGATCTATAAAGATCAAGATGCTTGGTAAGACTTCCAATGAGTAAATACCTTGAAAAGATTTGTACCAGACCTATATGAAGTTCTTGTCTGAGTTGTAAGGTGTGAAGTTGAGTAAAGACTCACAACCCGACCACGGCAGAAAATAGAAAGAGAATGAAAAGTCATTCTCTATGCCTCAGTCATAGGTTCTATAAAGTATGCTATGATGTGTACCAGACCTATTATGTACCTCACCATGAGTTTGGCAAGAGGTTACAATAGTGATCCAGGAATGGATCACCGACAGCGGTCAAAATTATCCTTAGTCGTAAAGGGTTACATCGATGCAAGCTTTGACACTGATCCGGATGACTATAAGGACAACGCGTCTCTAGAAATTTTGTTTCTTTAGTTTCATTTGAGAAATCACAAGTGAATCTTCTAGGGAGAACTATGTTCAATATGGTTTCTCAAGAAATATAACTGACTCACTTCCTAAATATTCAAAAGTATTTTTGTTCTCAGCATTCCAAATAGATGATCAACCTTTCAATTTTGTGCTATTAGTTTTTCTGTTCACATGTTTTCCATCATGTGCCAACCGAGTCTTAATCCAAGGATCAAATGAGAGATTGGCCCATCGAACTAGAGCACGTTTCATAAAATTAGGGCTGAGCAAAAAAAGTTGACTAATAAAAACATTACAAGCTAACCAAATTAGCATAAATGGTGAAATTAAGAGGTCAAACTTTCTATAGATGAAGAAACACAACCCGAATTATTATTCGTAAAGTTACAGCTATTTGAGTTCAAAATTTATCATATTTGTTTACATGTTTCTTGATTTTGGTAAGTGTCGACATGCAAAGCACATGCACTTTACTATTTTTTGAGCAAATACACTTTATTATTATAAACAAAAGTAGAAAAGAAAAGAATGTGACACTGGGCCGGCCCAGTACCAACTCTGTGTTGGCGACAAGTTCTTCATTATCACATAAAGCGAGTCATAGACTCGGGCAGCCCCTATTCCATGACCTACGTGCTGCCTTGCTGGGGAGCGAGGTAACACACACCCCTTGCTCGCCCTCGTGCGAATTTGGATTGGCTCATGTGGGGGCGAGGTGCCCCCTGTTTTTTTCGAGATTTTGGAAAAAGTTTTGACTTCCAAAAATGTGCATGAATTCAAAAACAACTCTTGAATTCAAAATTTCAAAAGAATGGACATTTTTAAATTTTAATGATTTTTATTTTCTGAACAATTTTTATGAGAATTTTTGAATGATGAACAAATTTTTAATTCGATTAATATCTTTTGAACTGGATGAACAAATTTTTTATCCAAGAACATTTTTACAAAAAAAATGAACAAATTTGGAATTTAATAAACATTTTTTGAATTTGATGAACATATTTTGAATTGATGAACATATTTTGAAATTGATGAACAAATTTCAAAATCTGATGAACATTTTTTAATTTGATGAGCTGATGAACATTTCTTAAATTCGATGAACAAAATTTTAGTTCGATGACCATTTTTTGTATTAATCCTATCCAATTATTTGAGAGGGTACTTCTCCAAGGAAAAAATATGATTAATTATAAAAAAGTTAGGAGGTTAAGCATTATTTGTTTTATAGTTTCGTAAATAAATTCTACTTTACTTTCATTCAGTGAATTCTTGTTAGATTTTTGTTGGACAATTATTTATATAATTTTAATATAAATTATTTATTTATTTTAGGGAAAATGATTTTTATAATTTTTGGAGCTGTAATTATTTTTATTTTTATACATTTTTAGGGTAATAATTTTATTTTTATACATTTTTAGCAGTAAACCAAGCTTTATTAAATAGTAACAAGGTTGACAGGGATAATTAGGGGGTCATGAGGAGCCCCTAGCCAAACATGGCGACCAACATCTAAAGAACTAGCGAATTTAGCTAAACTGTGAGCTTCCCAGTTGAGTGCTCGACCCTCAAAAATAAAGTCACATGTACCAAACTCCATCGCCCGCATTGCAATCTCCTTTACAATGGAAGAATGCCGCCCTTCTGTACCTTTTTCAATATCTGAAACCACCGTCTTCGAATCACTTACAACAACAATTCAATTTTCCATGAGATCAAGTGCAAGCGCTTGAGCTTCTCGACATGCCCAGGCTTCTAAGACTGTTGCATCAGTTATGCCTTCGACAACCATATCAGAAGATCCTAGAAATACGCCTTCATTATTTCTGTACATTGCAGCTGCTGCACCTCGCTCTCCATTTCTGGAAAAGCCTCTGTCAGCATGTATTTTAACCCGACCAGCACCCGATGCCGTCCATCCCTAGCAAGAAACTGATCCTCGACTGCTTGAATTTGCATGTCGTACTAAGGGAGCAACCCTTCTTTGTGAACATTGAACATTTTCAAACTCGAAGATGAAGCTAGTCACGAAAGAATGAGTAGCATGTGGGCTTTGTAGAATCCCTTCTTGAATTGCCTTTCGTCTCGCTGTCCAAATCGCCCAAAGAGTAACGACCAACTCTACGAGCTTTTTGTGCTCCAAATTATCGATCATCGCGACAATCCAACTCTCGGCATTTGGTTCTCTCATAGACTCAAAGAGATCAACAATTTCCATTTCAGCTAAAGCGCAAACACATCTTGACGATGAGCACTCCAAAAGTGAATGCCTTCATGAGTCTTGTGCGCCGCACAGCTGGCACTTGTCACTGTCCGCCATGTTTCTACTATGTCGAACATCCTCCGTCGGGATTGAGCACCTCGCTAGTCTCCACATAAAGTTTCTTATTTTTCCTGGTACTTCCACTGCCCATATAGAAGTCCATTCCCTTGCATCTTCCTCATAATTTGATCTAGTTGCATTGTTTCCCAACGAGTCCTCTCTTCTCCTTTTGGTATCTGCAAGCATGCGGTATGCGGATCTAACTGTGAAAATACCATTTTTCTCATAATTCCAAGCCCACGAATCCTCTAGATTCCTAGTGCACCGAGGGATGCCGGACATAATTTTTTATTTTATTTTTATACATATAAACAAGGGTTTTCTATTTCATTTCAGCTGACACAAAATGGGCCTCATAGCGGGCCACATAAAGCCCAACCCGAATGACACAGCACGAGCACAAGGAAGGTGCTATATAAGCTCGCATAACTCTTCGTGCCGAACCCTACTGCCCTTCCGAAGCCTCTCCCAAACCCTCCTGCCGCCGCCGCCGCCGCCCGCCACCGAACAGCAGCCATGCCGCCCAAGCTAGACCCGTCGCAGGTGGTGGAGGTCTACGTCCGGGTGACCGGAGGCGAGGTCGGCGCGGCTTCGTCGCTCGCCCCCAAGATCGGGCCCCTCGGCCTCTCCCCCAAGAAGATCGGTGAGGACATCGCCAAGGAGACGGCCAAGGACTGGAAGGGCCTCCGCGTCACCGTCAAGCTCACCGTCCAGAACCGTCAGGCCAAGGTCTCCGTCGTCCCTTCGGCCGCGGCGCTCGTCATCAAGTCCCTCAAGGAGCCCGAGAGGGACAGGAAGAAGGTGAAGAACATCAAGCACAACGGCAACATCAGCCTCGACGACGTCATCGAGATCGCCAAGATCATGAAGCCCAGGTCCATGGCCAAGGAGATGGCCGGGACTGTCAAGGAGATCCTCGGCACCTGCGTCAGCGTCGGCTGCACCGTCGACGGGAAGGACCCCAAGGACCTGCAGACGGAGATCGACGACGGCGAGGTCGAGATCCCCTCCGCTTAAAGGTATAACCGAGAGCTTTTCTTGCATTACTGCTGTTGCTATGCAATGTTGGATTATTACGGTTTAGATTAGTCCATTCTGGTATTTTGTTGTGACCAGTAAAATATGATGTAGCCCTTGTTTCCAGACGATGTGGGTAGGAAATTCAACCTGCTACAAGCAGTTTCCCCTTAAATTTTTAAATGAATTGCAGAGTATGTGTGTTAAAATGGGCAAAATATTCAACAGTGCTGTGTGTACTACTATGTGGACCTGTTTGTTTCGTATCACCCACTTCCTACAATCCGGCCTGAACCTTTGGGTAGGCTCTGCAAGATCAACAACCATAGCTGCACGGAGTACGGTAGAATTCCCTGGTATGGTCCCCCCGAGGGTGAACTGAAACATCTTAGTAGCCTGAGGAAAAGAGAGCAAGCGGTTCCCGTAGTAGCGGCGAGCGAAATGGGGTCTAAACCGTGAAAATGGGGTTGTGGAAGAGCAATACAAGTGTTGTGCTGCTAGGCGAAGCAAATTATGTATTGCAAATTTATTTTCTTCTCTGTTGAAATTGCTTGTAGAGACATGAGTTTCTATCCTGGTATTGACTGGGCGATATGTTCTGTGTAGTGTTTTGATCTCTAAATAGTTCATTAGTTCTCTTTCAATCGTGTGAGTCAAAGATTTTTTGTTAGCTTGCGCTGGTTAATCACTGCTCCTCTTTTGTTTATAGACATATATATGCAAACTTTTGATTTTTTTTTCTGTAGTGAAAGTAGCTATCATATGCACTCTTGTGACATTGTTTGAATGATAAGTTACTACTAAATCTACCAGCCCAGTAGTTCCTTATTTCCTGAATTGCAGGATAAATAGGGCAGATGTTTTGATGATTTGTTGCAAAATTCTATCGTATGCGAGTAACTGACGTGCTTGTTCTTGAGGATGTATCTTTGTTTTGCGCTAGCACACAAGAGACAGACTTTATCTTGCAGATTACTTACTATTTGAATAGATACATGAATTTAACTGATGCTTGCAAGTATGCTTTTGATCCTAGACACTTGCTTTCTTGGAAATCAGTCATGAGCTCTATCTCACCAGTTTGATGGTTTTTACATTGCAGGCCTGATGTCGAGGTGATTATCATCTGATGATATGGAAGTCATACCCTGTTGCAAATGTTGCTTATGTACCTCCCAGACGATGTGATCCCTCCTCTTTTTGTCATATTTTAGCAGTAATCCTGTGAGACCTCATTGTTACTACTGCATATTTGGTCTTTGCAATGTAGTTTGTGCACTTGGGTTAACTTAATCTATACCATTCAGTGGGTTGAAAGTTTGTTGTTCCATGTCATTTCCTTGGGTGTGTGGGATTCAGTTAACTGAATGATGCCAATGGTGTTGTGAATGATGCAGTTCTGAGCTTCCGGGAGGGCTCTTTGCTTCCTAGAAGCTGAAGATAGCGCATTCACCTATCATCTGCTAGAGTTGCTCCTATCATGAGCGAAGGGAGCTATCTCAGCCATATAGGAGCAACTCTAGCAGAACCACTATCTTGTGGAGTATGCGCCATGTGGGATTTTATCATCATGGTCATCAAATCTGACCTCCCTTGGTTTGCAGTCCTTTGGAGCACACTCTATCCACCAGCGAAGGAAGTTTCAGCTTGCCCACCTGCTGCCCTCGCCAGAGTCCGGCACATTTCGTCGTGGTTGGGGCGGTGTGCTCCCGTGTCCGTGCTCTAGCTCGCCCTTTTTCAGAATCAACACCTCGACGTCCATCCTCATCTCACCCCTGCTTCCTCGCAACATAAAAATCTCTGAACATCATAAGAACAGGTCAAATCTTTGAATATCAGAAGAACAGGGCGTTGCGCGTGGCCTGGGCTGGGTGGACCAAAGTTTCGCTACTGCTCCCTCCGATCCTTTTTAGTTCGTATATAAAATTTGTCTGAAGTCAAGCCTCGTAAAATTTAACTAACTTTATAGAAAAAAAATGTCAACATTCACGTTGTGAAGTCAATATCAGTAGATGCTCCATGACTTAAATTTTCATATTCTATAACTTTAGCATGATAGGTGTTGATATTTTTTCATATATATGATTAAATTGTATGAAGTTTGATTTCAGACAATTCTTATATGCAGAGTAAAAAGGCCCGGAGGGAGTATTAGACAGTCGACTGAAAATCAATTTTAGGGGCATTCCCTAAACGGCGCCCGTTGCGCCCGTGACAGGCATGGGCGCAAACGGGCGCACACCCCCGCGTCAGGCTGGGCCGGCCCATCTAACGTGTCTTCGTTTGTGTCTTAATCCGCAAAAAAAAGGCGCAGCTAGGTTTCGAACCAAGTACCTCTCCCATCAAAGAACGCCACTGTAACCACGAGGCCTCCGGGAGCGATCTAGTTACATTTTAATGTTTCCATCTATTATTCGTTCTCCTCCCATTTTTTCGTTCTCTTTTCTTCTTTCTCTTGGTCCGATGAATTGGTTCGCAAGTACGTGAACGTTTTTTTCAAATCGATGGACTTTTTCTAAAATTCATAAACTTTTTTAAAATTTTGATGAATTTTTTTTAAATTCGATGAACTATTTTTCAAATTTGATGAACTATTTTCGAATTTCGATGAACTTTTTTCAATGTCGATGAACTTTTTTTCAAAATCGATGAACTTTTTTTAAAATTGATGAACTTTTTTCAAAATCGATGAACCTTTTTTGAATTTTGATGATCGTTTTTCAAATCTGTGAACTTTTTCTCCAGATTCATGAACTGTTTTTTCAAATGATGAACCTATTTCAAAATTGATAGAATTTTTTCTCAAAATCGTGAACGTGTTTTCAAAATCGATTAATTTGTTTCAAAACAAATGAACTGTTCTATAATTTATGAACTTTTTCCCAAATGTTTTGAAAAAAATTAAAAATCAAAGCGCTACAGTAGTGTACTTGTCGGAGTAAATAGCCATGGATAGCCTAGCCGGCTCCCCCTGGCCCTTCTGAAAAAATTACGAGCCCGTCCGGCTCTCAAGAACCCAAGACATGGGGCCGCCTTTCCCTTGCCGGCTGTCACCCCGGCCGGCTTCCGGAAGGCGGCCCGACTATAGCCCTCATGAAGAAAGCCATGGGAGGGCCGACTTCAAGAAGCCGGCTCCCATAAAGTGGTCAAAACCGTACCCTCAAAGTTTGCATCTACCTAGCGGCGATGAGACGGGGCGTGGCTACAGTAAAGCCTGCCACCCCCGAATCCCGGAGCACGACCGGCACAGTGCGTCGTACGGGTGACCATGACCCGCCCGGCACAACACTGTTGCCATGTCGACCCTGACGCCATCCACGACGGACTACCAATGCTGCCCACGGGCGGTGGGTCCCTTCGGGCAGAGAGACACCCGAAGGCGGCCACACCTCCCCCAGTCGGCCCAAGAGAAAGCCGGTTCCCCGCAGCCGGCTTGCCATCGTCCTCGAAGGGGACGCCCCATTAAGGAGACAAGACACGGTGAGGCTACAGCAATCGCCCGCCAGGCGGCGGTACTGTAGCCACGCTTACCACGACGAAGCCCACGTCACCAGAATGGAGCAACAGTAACCAGCCACCGACCAGGCCCTGACCAGCGGGGCCTGCCTGTCGACCGAGGAGCCGGCAGCCGGTGGGGCCCGCCAGTCGGCGGGCCCCAGCGGCCGACGCAGAAGCCGGCGAGCGCAGTCACAGACAGCTGGGCCTCGCGCCCAGTCGGATTACCATTGTACCCCCGGAGGGTAGGCCTATATAAACCCCCCGGTGCACCCATGCAAAGGGTTCGACCCCTAGCTAGTTTTAGACACCATACGAGGAGAAGAAGCAAGCTAGCCGAGCCCTCCTTCCTCCTCCCACCAAAACAGCTCAAGGAGCATTGTGTAGCTACTTATCCATCTAGTGATCATGCGGAGACCCCGCAGAGCAGCAGTAGGGGTGTTATCTCCACAAAGAGCCCCGAAGCTGGGTAAGATCCGCCGGCGTGCATGTCTTCGCCTCATCCCGTTTCCAGGCACCGGCGATGTCTTACTGGCTCCAACAATGATAAGCCACCCGTTGGCATATGTCGCACCTACCACCCGACATTTGGCGCCCACCATGGGGCCAGGTGCACCGTCGTCCGGAGACCTGTTCTGGACGGGAACCCTCTTCCTCCCCAGCGAGCGTAGCCAGCCCGGCACGCCCGATGGCGCTTGCCACGACGCGCTGCAAGGCGTCACCAGCATCTGCGCGGCGAGCGGCCTCGCCGATCTCCTCGACGAAACCCGCATCTCCGACGAGCTCGCCTCCGATGCGGGCACCGACCACCTCGCCTGCCTCCTCAGCCAGCTGCATGTCTCCAGCGAGCCCGTTGCGGATCTGGAGTCGGTTGGCTCCACCGACCCGATGCTTGTCGACTCCGACACGGCCTCCTTCGACACCTTCCCCACCAATGTTGCGATCTACAATGACCCGCTTCCTCGGACCGACGGCCGCGATACAGTCACCACCGAGGTGATGGTCATCGGCCGCGATGGCCCGGCCGACGAGAGCGCCCACGACGCCCCGCACGCGGCGACCCACGACTTGTCCGTCCCCCTCCCGGCTGATGCCGACGACGAAGCACTGGAGGCACGCCGCCTTGCCCTCCTCGCGGAGGGCCGGAGGCTGGGTTCCGTGAGACGCCTCACTGAGGCCTACCAGCGCGAAGCTGACCGCGCCGCCTTCGGCACGTCGGCCCCGGCTGGGCCCAGCCGGGTCGGCGTCGTCAAGCAACGCGGCGCCGTCATCGCCGACATGCTGGGAGTCGACCGCCCGGTCTATGCCACTCCGCTCAAGAACCTGCGCGCCGCCCAGGCGGCCGTGGACGAGTTGGACGGCTTGGAGGCCGAAGAACTCCCCCACATGAGCCGGCGCATCCAGTAGCTGATTGACGCGGCCGCGCAGCGGCACGAAGCCGACGCCCGCGCGGGAAGCCCTCCCTCGCGTCGAGATCACGGTGCGATGTCCCGGACGCCAACTAC